ACCACTGAGCTAAATCCCCAGCCCACAAAAATTATATTTTCATTATTTCTTTTCTAATTATTTGTAATTGCTGTAATGTTTATAATGGATTAACCACATATCCATATCAGAATATTTAAATTAATATCTTTAAAAGAAAGTAAATGTTACACATTTAGTAATTTATTAATCTCATTTGCAAAATATGCTGAAAATATTCATTTAAATTTCTACATTATTAAAGCCCTCTAAAATACTTGTTTTACTTAAACATTTAAAAACTAACTTCAAAAGTGTCTTTCTATCCAATTACTCTGTTCAGCACATCTACTGTAATTCACAAGTGCTTTAAACATATATAATTTAACATTTTTCTTACAACCAAAATAATAACATAATGAATCATTATGACAGGACTATTATTTAGAGTATTAAAGTATTAACAGACTCTATTTCAAATATGTCTTAGATATAACCTGTTTTATATGGATGACATTCTGTTGCCACTAACACTCATTTTTCCCTTCATCCCAAATAATGTAAAATGTGTTATAAATAATTTTAGCATAAAAGTTATTCATGATCCTTTAAGAGAAAAGAATGCAGGAGAAAGCCACCTTGCAGGGTGAGCTGCTTGGACAGCTTCGGTGTGATGTCCATCCCGTTCTTCAGCCAGCCGAGCTCCGGGTCTGGGATACCCTCGGCGTGGCACCTAAGGCTGGCGGTCACTCCGGGCTCCCTCGCCTGGCTCTCGGGATACACACGGATAACAGGAGGCACTGTGAGGAGAGCAGAGGGAGGGGATTAGGAGCCACACTGACCGCTCGATCTCCCAGGACAAATAAGCAGCAAGTGCAGTGGGGAAATCAGGAGCTGCACGCTCTAACCATATCATGCAGTTTTAAAGATCTTAGTTTCCAGGAATCACTATGAACTAAAGTGTCCCAGTGGCACTTGAAGAAAAGTAACTCTGGAACTGTGCTAGGAAAAGTGCAATATATGTCTGGATGGAACATTTTATTTCAAAAATTAAATAAAGCTTCATAATGACAGAGATATAAAAATAGTCACAGAAACAGATCAAAAGGGATTCTTATATTAAATATGGAACAACTTGAGCATCAGAATAATTAACAATAATAAAGAAGTATAGGTAACTACAAGCCTATTAATCCAATCAAATAAGAAAATAAATAAATAAATCCAGAGAGAAAGGAAAGCCTTTCCAAACCATAACATGATTAGAAATTAAGACAATGATTCCATATACAGTAGGCATCCAAAACTTAAAATATTTGGGAATAAATTTTATTCAAAAAATGCAAGACTTTTATACTAAACACTGCAGAATATTTTGAAAGGATTTTTCAAAAAACAAACTTGTGTTCACGAATAGAAATATTAACTGATGAGACAGAATTATTGGTGAGAAGGTAGTACTTCTAACTGACAGAGATATGATGTCCTTGTTACAAGAACTCTAAATCCATTTCCTTCCTAAATGGAAGAGCTCATCCTCAGAACCATACAGAATCACAAGCAGCCCCATATAGCCAAAATAACTAGGAAAAAGGAGAAAAAAACTATAGGACTCATACCTCTTGATTTGAAAACTTATAATAAATCCACAATATAAAATAATGTGATACAAATACAAGGATAAATATATAGAATATAGAGCTGAGCATACAGAAATATATATTTATGGTCAAATGATTTTTCATGAGAATGCCCAGAAATAGATATTTTGTTAAGAAAATCTTAGAAAACTGCAAACCAGAACAGGAAAATAAACTCAAATATGTACCTTACATCATATCTAAAGTTTAATTCAAAACCAAATGAAGACCTATACATAGGAGCTAAACACTGTATCTTTTAAAAAATAGGAGCAAATCCCTTTGACATTTGTTTGACAATGATTTCTTAATATGACCCCAAAAGCACAAGTAACAACACCATGATAAATTTGTCTTCATCCAAATTAAAAATTTTGGTGCCTAAAACAATACTCAATAAAAAGTAAATCATCTTACAAAATAAAAAGATATTTACAAATTATATTGGATAGGAGACTAGTATCCAGAATGTATAAAGAAATTGTTACAATTTAACAACAGAAAAAGTGCTCTGTTATATTACAGGCAAAAGACTTGAATAAACATTTCTTCTAAGAAATGCAAATAGATAATAAGCACATGAAAAGGTGTCAAAAAGATGATAATGCAAATAAAACCACAACATGATGCCACTTCATGCCTACTAACATGGATATAAAAAACAGAAACAGAAAATAACGTGTCAATAAGAGAACATGAAGAAATTGGAAGTCTTTCACATTCTGGTGGGAATGTAAAACCATGTAATCACTCTGCCACTGTGAAGAAGATATTGGTGGGTTCTCAAAATATTAAATGTAGAAATACAGTAAAACCTTGGGTTTTTCCACAGGTTAACTTGTTTACTTTTCTTTGTATTTTGCATTTTATTCATTATTTCATATTATATTACAGTAATTTGTTCTGTGAGTTTTCTGCAAGAGGACCAACAAATCAAACATATTTTAACTTGATAAGCGAGTGATGTCTTGCTAAACCAGTAGTACATGATGCCGAACATCACGTGATCACAACTGAGCCAATGGTTCCCCCTCCCTGGTCGCGTGTGCTTGCTCTCTCTCTCCCTCTCTTGGATTGTGGCTGTGGGACTATGAGCAATCATCTCACAAAAGCAAGAGGTTATGGAGATCTCTTCTGCAGAGAAAGAGAAGAAAAATCTCTCCTTCAAATGAGACTAGGGAGATGCGATGTGCAAAATTCTGAAGAACAGCACCACCCAAATAAGGCTGTAGCAGTGCAAGCAATGAATCTGTTTAACAGCAATGCAATGTCACATTTCCAAGAAATCCTCTAAAGGGGCCAAAAGCAAGTGTCACTGGATAGGTTCCTTGTTAAAGTTGCACGAAAAGAAAAAGATTCCATTGAGCCAATGGAGAGCAGATTTCGTAGTGATAGTGAAAGTCGCTCTACAAAATAACCCTCCTCTCTCTTGTCTCTCTCAGACCAGTGATGAAGTTTTTCAAAGTTAAGCAAAGGCTAATTTGTCTATTTTTCATCATATTTTATATTTTATTGTTTTGTATTATATTACAGTATTGTTGTCATTTTATATGAATATTCTGGGTAGTGTAATGAATTGTCTGAGTTTCCATTATTTCTTATGGAGAAATTCACTTTTATGTACAAGTGCTTTAGATTACAAGTATGTTTCTTTTTCTCTTTTTTTTGGTACTGGGAATCGAACTTGGGTTCTTGTGCTTTTGAGACAGGTGGCATAACCACTGAGTTAAATCCCTGGCCCACAAGTATGTTTCTTGAATGAATTATGCTGGCAAACCAAGGTTCTACTGTGCCATGTTAAGGAATTCCATGTCACTGAGGTCATTGAGACAGGGTAAAAAAGAAGTGTCTATGAATATGCATGATGCTAAACAGTGGAAAGAACATAAACGATCATCCACTGCTGATGGATAATAAAATGTGGTTTTGTTACACAACATAATATTTCTAGCAAAAAAAACAGAAAGAACTTATACAAGCTGCAGAAGGAACATGGAAGACACAATGCTGAGTGAAAGAGGTGTGACACAAAAGACCCGAAACTGAAGAGTCCATTTCCATACAGTGTCCGGGATGGGATGGGTAAATTTGTCAGGCAGAAGGATTAGTGGACTGGGGGGGAAGAGAGCAAAGGAGAAATGTATTTAATGCACTTGAAGGTTTTTGGTAGTGATAAGAATATTTGAGATTAGCAAGTAGCCACACAACATTGTGCACGCACTGTACTGTGCACCTTTAAGTGGCTCAGTAGCACATGAATTTTACCTCAGTGAAAAAATCAAAGAGCCTGAGAAAAGGTTGTGGATTAAAAGACACTAAGAGTCCTGATAACTAACCGCAGTGAGTACACCTAGACTGGATCCCGGTCCAGGGAAAATGAGCTACATAGCATGTGGGAAAATTGGCAGACACTGCATGGGGACTGGGCATTAAACAATGAGATTCTATTATGTTACATTTCCAGGCTTGATAATTATATTTTGATTAAGTAACAATCAAATTTTGTTTTTAAGACAATTTTCCTTAAACTCACTCACTGAATTAGCTAGTGACTGAAAGCAAAAATCTTAAATTTATTCTCAATTATACGTCAGAAGCATTGACATTAACAGTGATTGACTGAAGCACAGCACAGCTTCGTGACTGCCTGGGATGTGAGGTTTCCATCTGCAGAGCACAGCGTCTCCACAACTGAAGACCCAAGGTGGGTGACAGTGGCACTCCCTGCCATCAGCAGTGGAAAGCAATGCACACAGATGCACATCACACCCTTGAATTAAACTTGCAACCCTAAAAGTTGGCAAAATAACTTTTGAAGGTTCCGTAACCCAAGAATATAACGAAAACCAGAGTAAGCAGTATGAAAGCGGGAGTGTCAAAGGCCATGGAAGTAAGCTAGGAGTTTCTAGTGACTCTGTGTGTGACATCATAAATCTAACTTAAAGATGAAGCGCTGTTATGCTATCCATTATGGCATGTGTGTGCGATTAATAAGTGCAATTTTAGACATGAATACAGCTGGAAATTTTGAGAGGCTTTTTTGTTATTAACCACTGATTCATTTAGACTGTGTTTTTATAAGTCTGGGCCTGGTCTTCCACTGAATCACATGCACTGGTTTATCTCTTCTGCCTCCAGGCAACCCCAAAAATAGGCAGGTGTGCTGGCCCGGCCTCCCTCCCTCCCTCCCTCTCTCTCTCTCTCTCTCTCTCTCTCTCTTTCTCTCCCTCTCTTTCAAATATAATGTACACATAATAGTGAAATTGTAGAACACTGAAGGAAAAGAGAATAATCAGAAGCAGCAGCCCAGAAAACAAAAGAAAGAAATACAAGTTAAACTAAGACAACATACTGTAAACAACTTAATGCCAATTCTTTATTTTATATGAAATAAATAAATTTCTAGAAACACAAGAATGGAACCTACACAAAAGTATTATAGTATTTAAATAAATTTAATAAATGAAAACATTTGATCGAAGAAAACTGTATTCTCCCAAAATATAAAAGTAATGCCAATAGTATCTCATAGCTGTATGTTCAGTTAACATGTGCCCATAATCCATTTGCACACACCCTAGATCCAGCCACCTATGAAAAGCCCTACCCATGAGCACATGAGGCTTTGGGGGAACATCTAGGTACAGGCCATGAGATTCTCCCCCTGGAGCCCAAAAGAGTCACATACATCCCTTTGTGAAAAATGCATTTAGCCAAAGTCCTAACATTTCAGATGCCATCTGACATAGATGCTGTATATGGTGGTCCTCACCAGAAGCAGAATTAAGGATCCACTTAAGCTTTCCACAGCTAAAACTGTGATCTGGTAAATGTTTTTTCTTTGTTTTTATTATGCACCTTTAGGTATTTAGCACAACATGCACTAATTCAGTGGAACACAGACTTCTGAGATAAGATAAAAATGATAATACATTAGAGCAATGTTTTTAGACATTTTAATTCTACTACATAAATGTCCATTGTTCTTTTCAAGAAAAAGCAATATACACTTTAAAATAAATATTACATTTATTCACACTAAAATGAGCCTCATAGATAGCTACATTTTCTTAATTGTTGCCAATGATTCTTTTATATATTCAATTTTTAACATATATATTTGATTTTTGAAAGACGTAAGTGAATCAAGGATCTCAGAT